AAAAAAAAAAAAAAAAAAAAAAGAGAGAGAGAGAGAAGAAAAGAAAAGTTACTGAGAAATTTGAGAATGGTAAGGCGATTTATGCGAGACTCTATCTAGTAGCTGGGACTGGGTTAAGCTTTTGTGCTTTAAACTTAGCTGCAACAATATAGGACTTAGCCTCAGGTGCCCTTATTGAAATTTTAGAACTGTTTTTATATTTCTTGACTTTTAGTTTATCTTTATCAATGATATTACTGTTTCATCCATACAACCAACCGCGCATGTTGTTATTGTTTGTTGGCCACCATACATGATTTTGAAAATTGAAACTGAGAGTGATGAAAAGTAGAAGTTAAGTTCATGGTGTGAGAGCAGGTAGATCCTTTGTACTTTGTTGGCAGTTAAAATGGATTGCAAGGCCCACTTGGTTGTTGTAAAACTCATGAATCATGATGGATGGTAGACCGACCTAACCTATGTTCACAGCTCAGTCCACAGCACTGACCACCTGCGATGTTAAACAGTGACTCGTGTGGACCTCAAAATGCTTGACACGTAACATTTCTTCAAAATTAACTAAGTTTGCATAAAGTTGAGATGAATTCATTTTCATAAAATTAGTTTTAAATTATTGAATATAAACATAATCAACATGTGGGCTTAAATTTATTTGAACCATAAATTTACACTAGAATGTATGTTATATTGAGAAGAATTGATTTTGTAAAAACATCAAATGGATATTATGCTATTTTTGAAAAGAAAAAAAAAAGTAACTAAAAAGTTAGGTGAAAGCCGGAAATCTAGTTGAAAAATGAAAACGGAAAAATTAACTGGTAGTTAAAAATTGTTAAGTTAGTTTAATAAATTATAAGTATTTGGTAAAATTATTTGTTGAAGTATATGATAAATCTAATAAATATAAAATTACAGAAATGAACATATTTATATGATTTTTATATAAATTTAAATTTCATTTTATTGATTTTGGTATATTTAAAAATTTATTTTTAATTAATTTTAAAATCTATCCATTTTTTATATAGATCCATTGTTCAAATTACGTTTTTTTAGTTAGAGTTATTATATTTTTTTATATTATGCATTCAACTATTAATCTTACACTATATCTTAAAATATGCTCAACCAAGTCTAAAACAAAATAAATTAACATGCAGCGAAATATATGTCATACTTCTATTATGTTAATTTGTATAATAGTTATAATTTAAAAAATATCTTGAAGTATAATGTTAAAATAATATAACAAATAATGTAAATATAATTGTTAAATTAAACCGCGTAAGAAGGAGAAAAATAATAATACAATGTTACCCATTGTAAAAAAAAAAATATATATATATATATATAAATATAAAGGATATAGGTTAGAGTATATTTTTTATATTATTATTTAAAAATAATGTAATAATAATCTAAACTCTTATATGTTAATATCAATATAATTTTCTTATGCAAATATATGAAATCTGTCCATTCATACATTTAGATAGTGAAAGTAGTAAAGACAAATTTCCAAATCGTTTTTTTTTTCCTTATTAAAAAGATAAGGAATTTAACTCGCACATAAGATAATTTTGGTAAACTTTTCACATATTCCCTTATTTGCTTAATATGCAAACCTAGAGTTTTGTTTACATAGTCATACCCAAAGTCATGAATATTACAATGACTTGTTTTATATCGTAAGAACCATGTACATATGTTGGTAGATTTGAATTTGTTCGAGTCATTGTAATTTTTACGAATAAAAATATACTTTAAATTATAGAACTTTATCATTAATAATTATTAATTTGTTTAAGTTTCATATATTTTACAAATTACAATATAATCATAATTATAATATATATATATATATATATATGGAATTTTTTAGTGGGAGTATGTTAGTAAGTAGTAACCTACACCAAAATTTTAGGACAAAAAAAATCACTCATTTCTTTTAATTTGGTTAATTCGTACAAAGGATATTATAGTAATTTGATTTAATTTTAAATAAAAATAAATATTTTCTCTCTCTTATTAATTTCATTCTCTAATTCATTTCATTTTTCTATTAATTAATTTTTATTTGTTCAGAGAGAAAGGGGGAGAGAAATGAGTTAAAGAAGAAATTTAATAGGAGAGAGATAAATAAGTTAGAGAAATAATTTAATAGGAAAGAGAAATAAGTTGGAGAAGAAATTTAATAAGAGAGAGAAATGACTTAAAGAATGAAGTTAATAAAGGAGAGAAAATATTTTATTTTTTTAAAATTAAATTAAATTACTATAATATCTTTTATACAAATTAATCAAATCAAAAGAAATGAGTGATTTTTTTTTTCTAAAATTTTGGTGTAGGTTACTAAAAGTATCTGCAATGAGGGTTGCTTATAAGCAACTCTGCAATGAAAGTTAATGGGACTTGTAGAAGCAACTCTGCTAAAATTTAAGCAACCCATAAAGTGGGCCAGAGCAGATGTGGCAGTGATGTGGCACAGGGTTGCTGAAAAGCAACCCCACTGAAAATGCTCTAACATACTCCTACTAAAAAATAGGTGGGAGTTTAACATTTCCCATATATATATATATACATACATACATACATACATACATATATATATATATATATATATAT